CGCAATTCACGAGGAAAATGCATTTCTGAGTGGGAAATCCGTCAACACTGACGTGAATACCACCAAGGTCATAATTGACACTAATCAGCCAAATGACGTCACTATGCAGCCAAAGGTAAATGTCAAAGGCCGAGGTTTCTTTGGCAGTTAATATAATTATGACTCCTTGACTTGAGTTTGTTTGTGTGCCTCAGTCTCTTTCATTTACTTGGGCTCTTAAAAAATCACCTGAACATTTTGATTTGGTTTCAGGTAGACAGAGTTAATTTATGATCTCTCAGAGATAATTAACTTGTTAGCAGAAGACCCTGATTGGCTGTTTGCTGTTAGACGCGGGTAATCCACAGGACAGTAAACGACTTACTAATCTTTTTGTCGTATACACACGGTATGACGTATACTTTTTTAAATGAGTAAGCACAGTGACATTTTAAGTGGTTACTAATTTGAATTTTAAAAAATCTATAATGGAACTTATTGGTTTTTACTAAGTTTATGTCCCACTTCTTCAGGAACACTTTGCTACACTCCCGATCATTCTCAAACACATTCAAATGCAGTCGCAGAATTGCAGCTATGTCAATCAGAAAAGCGAAGATCGTGTGGGCTTAGAAGACGGATACCAAAATCGACAAATCGCAAACTCGTACCTTCGCAATCAGCAAACTTCGTCGAGGAGACTCGGTCAGCAGGGCTCAACCGCAATCACCACCTGCCGCGACGACAGCGACTTTACTATCCACAATTCAGCTGCTCAAATCCCCATCATGGATAGACTGGAGGCCGCCGCGCAATCTGCCGTATCCTTTGAGTCAACTCAGTCCCACAGACCGCCAAGTTACGCGCGAAACTGTCTAGACGTGGAACCGGTCCAAAGAGCTATCAGCGAACCCCCTGCCTCTTTCCTAGCCGCTGTCAGACAGGCATGAGGAAGATAAACTACGACAGGCAATGATCTCATCCACCCATTAATACTCATGCCTTACTAATTCACATTACACATGCAATTGAAGTCAGTATTACATGTAAGCTATATTTTTTGTCTATTTACATACGAAAAATTGCAATCACATCAATACGACTTCTCCTTCCTAGTGCATGTGGCATTTGACCGGTCAGATCGTTAGAGAAAACTATCAGAAAGATAGTTGTATCAAAAACGCACATTTAGATGAGCTGTTTTCTAGCAGTTTACTTCATCTTCTAAATTAAATGTCTAGACTGAGAGCCTAACATCGCACACTATTAGTGCATGCGTTGGTAGGCAGTGAAGGCACGTATGTATGAGTTGGTGAAAATTAGAAACGTGGGGTCAAGACTCAATCGCGGGGTTGTTCGCGGCAGCTAGCTAGGGGTTTGAGATGATCGTTGCCTTCAGCAACTTAAGCTAGCTGATGCTATTGTGGAGACGTTTGCCCCATGAGTGTCATATTTGCTCACAAAACCTCTCTATAGTGATCGGAATTGCAATTTTTAGATTTTAAGTTCACCAAAAAACAGGAAGAGAAAGGAAGGGGACTAAAGTTCACTCGGAAACCACGGGAATTCAGTAAGTGAAATTGCGGACAGGCTTTTAATATTTAAATGCCCTTCAGGTTGCTTTCACTCACGAAACACGCGAAATCTCCAGAAGTAGCTTAGATCGATCTGGAGATATGCTTTTTGGCATGGGATTGTCAAAACGTGTCAACGACTTCTAGAGTTTTGAGTAAATGGAGAACTGAATTGTGGGTTTCACTGGATGTGAACCCTACCAATGGATAACTCCAAACCAAGAAACCTCTAATACAATACTGCGGTCTGTGAAAAGGAGTTTGAGAGGTTAATTGTGACTTGTAGTTATCTTGAAGTCATGTGAAATTGAATAATTTTATTTAGAGATTAGTATAGTAGCTCCCACCAGGATGGAGTCAGTCGTGTGATGATTACGAATTTCAGTTATGCCTCTAAAGATGTAGCAGATTTCTCACTTACAAAAATGCAGAGTCGTACAGAGGAAATGTGGATTACGTAAAAGTTAAAAAGAATTCTGCTAAATAATGTGTTCGAGTTTTTTTTTAAATGAAACACATCATTTTGTTATTCAGGTAAATAAAACGTCAGTAGCAAAAGGAACCTATGCATCACTTCGGCCGAAATTAATGCGAGATCCCCTGAATGTGTAATTGATCACTTCAACATTTGAAAAAGTCTAACAAATTGGTACTTCATTATGTAAATGGAACAAAAGTGAAAGAATTGAGTACTTAGTGAGGCACATTTATTTAAATCATTTGTGCCAGGTAAAACTTAAGGGACATTTGAAAACCAAACCTTCCTAGACACGTTTTAATCGTGTTAGTGGATAAAAAGTTTTCAGTCCGGTAACATTTCGTTTACTACTATTTACTGAACAACTAGGAACTTGAATCAGAAAAAACTTAAGACCGATGGTAGAAAAAAAATTGATTCGTTTGAATTTGTGTTTATTTTATTATACTGAAGGCTGACGCAAAGTGAAACTTACATTCATTTCATCTTGTGAAAGTGTCACTTAAAACCTAATTCATAACAAAGTCCTAAACGATCTCCCCTCAATTTTTTAACATATTTTTACACTGTATCCATGTGACACTCAATGTAAAAAGAAACTATTGCTTTACAAGCCCACTACGATACTATGGATATAATCTGTGATGTAGATTTCTGATTTTTAATTAAACCATTGTTATCTACTTTTCTTAATTTTGCACGTCCTGCTATCAAGAATGATTCAGACTGTAATTCAAATGCATTCAAAAAGCACAACGTTTTTGGCATAGCATGAAAGTAAGTTTTTTAAATGAGTTTTGAATTCACAGCAGTGGTTTGCACTTGTCAAAGTATTTGTAAAATCATAGACGTCGCCTGAATTTGATGCTTCAAAACAAGCTCATGAAATTAGTACCTAGTTATTTTAATGCTTGCACTGGATTCTCCCCATTTCTGCGGACCTTTTGCATTTCGGAAGTTAACTAAATGCAAATAAGAAATAATTATTGCGTTTAATTAGCTTTTATGTGGCGTTTGGCGGTGTTTTACTGCCCTGCAAAATATGTACGGAAAGGATTTACCAAAGAGCTGGTGTGGCTAGCAAAGACGCAGCGTCAATCACTCAACATCGCACTATCAAATCCGCGGCAGGAATGTTTACGCGCTCGAACGCCCTAATAATGCACCAACCCATTCACCCTAAAATGACATTAAATTTTTGAAACACCAGGAAAATTTGTCTGACAATTAAATAAAAGGTAACGCCCAAAAAATGCTGCGCAACTATGACTTTAACGAATGTCCTGGAAGAACTTGAATATCCTCAACCACAAACAGTAATTTAAACATGAGTACCTAGAAAATAAATGTCACTTATCGTCCATGTTTGAGGACCACGACTTACATTCAATTCTATAACCTATAACATCTAATGCAAAGAACGAGTTTGCAACCTCGATGTAGAAGCCTTATTAATAGGTCCATTTTACTCTGACGTAAAATATTCGTATCTAACAGCAAACAGCTAACCAGGTTGTTCTGGCAGAAGTTTATTTCCACTTAAGAGGTCAAAAAGTAACCCTATCTAACTGAACCCACGTCACTATGTCCAAGTGTTCGTGTGAAAATCCGGAAGCAGGTCGGAATGCGCCAGCGACTTTGCGGGCACACTCAATGGTCACTCCAGGCCTCCTCAACTAGCATCCTGCACTCAGTACACTCTCTAACGCCACAAGTGGCTAAATTGGTGAGACATTCGTTGGCACCGTGCACTGACAACGAACCGCAGGTTAAAACGCGGACCAACGAATGTACATCGTTTAATTTGATGTGACACGCATCTACTGAACTGGTCACTGCAGGCTGCAAAAGCCTCACAACATGCGCGTCTCACGTTTGGCATAGTCGCATGTCTACAAAAGAAGCGATGACTGTCAATTATGACCTTGGTGGTATTCACGTCAGTGTTGACGGATTTCCCACTCAGAAATGCATTTTCCTCGTGAATTGCGGCATCATGGGATTCATGCCATGACATGCATCTATCGAAACTCGCCATTTCGTTAAATACATTTTGCAGTGAGATCCAACAGCGATACTTGCGACTTGGGTTTTCATTCGTTTACTTCAAGCGCAATTGCTGCATTTCCATCTTTCACTTGACGAACTAAACGCACACCCCTGAATGCTCTGCGTGACTGCTGTCCACAATGGCAGTACCAATGTGAAGACCTGAGTAAATTAGTTAACCGACCAAGGGAATGGATGAGTGTTGCCGTTTCGCCAGTGTTGCCATTTCGCCAGTGTTGCAATTCATTTGACTTGCATTTTCTCTCTGTTGTGTAAAAGCAGTTAGATGGGTTTGAAGGAATTTGAACTTAGACGTTAGCAGCTCTCACATCATGCGCTCTGTGTAGCAATGGTCTTGCTCACGCGGCTGTGTAAATACGAGGAGCGCGTTCAAAGCCTGTCCTCGTGCACTGCTGCTTGCTTTTAACGACCATGGCAGGATTCGTGTTCGGTGGCTCAAGTGGAATCGAATCGCTGCTACAACGACCTCGACTGGTTGTTATTGCTTTAGGTACGGATGCTTGTAGTGGGAGTAATCCATTAGGAAATGCGAACAGGGAAGTCGCAATGACCATGGTGTTGTCTACGTGCAATGTGCAGTTGTTAATTTCTAGTGATATTAAACATTTCCTGTTCACCGTCTTATTTTGCGCATTCTTAGATTTAAAGGCGTAGCTTGGGGTGAGTTGCTTGTTGTGGTGATCGTTGTTTTTTTGACAGTTAAAATAATGTTTTGTGCTCGATTAATGTTAGGGTCGTTTTGTACACGGGTTTGCATGAAATGTCAAACAGACAGAGATGTTATTAACAAAGAGTTAGCGAAGTCGTTTAAGGTAAACCACTTTAGGTTTGTTTACTGAGGACGATTATTTTGCCTGACCTGCTCTTGCCCACTTTCTCATCTTCTTACTCTGTAGGCAATATTTAATAAAACTTTCCAAATATCAAACTCATTGTTCCATGGATAGATGGAACCATTCTGCCGAGTACGTGAAATGTGCGTCAATGCAAATAAGGCCAATTTATTAGCTCTAAATTAGTTACGTAGCAGTGCTGCGTTAGCAGTATGAAAGTACGTCAGGACAGTGAGAAGCAGTCTAATAAAGCACAGCAGACCGGTGTCACTTCCTTTCATCGTCTCCACTCCAAACCCACTAGAACTGGCGGAAACACGGTGGCAGATTATGATTTGAAATCACTAACTTGAGCCATTTAAAAAGACGCTCTAATACTGAGCATCTTTGACTTATAAACGTACATCCGTACATTTTCAGACATACCTCTTTTTTACTGGGGACGGTTTGTTTCTCTGATTTCACCTGACACTATATTTGCCGTTAAACAAATTCAAAATTGTCATTTTTAATCAGCCTACATGTTGACATCATTTGTAATGTGATCTACGTGCATTTTTAACATAATTTAGAGGTTAATTGTTTTTAATGGAGGGGGCTTGTAATGAAGTCTACTTTGGTTGCTGACTTAGAAGCAAGGCTCTAGTCTGTGGTTTAATTATGTTTAGTTAATTTAATAAATTCCATGCAGTTGCCTGGGATCAGTGCTAAAAAATAATGCATCCATCCTATGCTTTGTAACAACTAACCTTGAGTAATATATGACAATTTCAGTAGTTATTTGGACCTTGGTTGTAAGTTACTATCGATTCATTACCTTAACAGTATTGCAAAGCAGCAGATAGCCTAAATTCATGTTGTTTAAATAAACGTATGGAAGATACTAGCTGGCGATTTTTTTTAATCCTGTGGTAATTATTGTCAGTTTAAAATAAATCGAGAACTACCTTACTGCAGATTATTTGCAAAAATAACCTGCTATTCATCCCGTACCGTATGGATTTCTTTAATTACTTACATCATTAGGTAAGCGTAAGTGGTATAAAATTAGTCGTGTGTATCACTCTTTTGTTTTACTATTCGTTGATGTAAGTTGCTTTTCTTAATTTAGAGGTATTAATTTTTTCAATGATGTCAAGTCACAAACTTACGATATTAAGTACTTGTAACTTTTTTCCTAGCAGCAGTGACGTTCAAATGACACGCTTCAGTAACACCTGTGTTGTTTTGTTTTACTTATTAACGGTTGCACACTTTGATATGTTAGCAAAGTAAACACTTAACATTTGTCTACCTGAATTTACCCTAAAAATATAAATATACAGACAATTACCATGCATTAACTAGTATTCGGCAATTTATATTTGCGCTTTCGAAGACCATAGATCGCATGAAAACCTTTAAGCAAACCTTTTTTTGCATATAATGCTATTAATTATTTACCCATCAACATTATTGATTCGTATTGCACATTTATTTAAATTGATAATAGTAAGGAGCTTTCGCGACCACTTTGAAGGAGTACTTCGTGTTAAGCAGCAATGGTTGATGTCTTCTTAAAGTACTGTCATGCACCTCCTTTTTTAAGAACCTCTGACAAAATCACAACTATAAAATCTTTTTTTATCAGGAATAACTCTTTGCAGTAACTGTTTGATTTAATTAATTACAGCTTGAGACTGCTGGAATTTCCATGACGTTTCTAATGATATGCATCACATGATGTAGATACCAGGATGCGTAACTGAAACATGCATAGGAGCAAGATTTTCAGTGTGAATAAGGTGTCAATATTCAAAATAAGAAAATTCAGACCTGGTCGAAGAATTGAACCGAACTCAGCTACAGTTGCTTGCCCTTAATGTGTTCAACTTCATCCGAGAGAAATTAAACAGAAATTTAAATTTAAACTCGTGCAAAATTGGGCCACACTGGATAAGAACTATATAAGAGTCCTTCATAATACACCCTAGGTCTATCAGCGTTGCATAAAATGAAAAGGAATTATGAATAAAAACTGTAAAGTTTGACAAGATTTTCTCTACAGATTAAGTCTAGTGATCGTCTTAAATGAAAAGTACAAAAAGTACTTTTTTAGACATGATTGAGATTTTTTAACTCGTACTTAATGTTTCAAGATATGCAGCTTCCTCGTCAGTTCAGGAAATCCAAAAACCAAATCGAAATTTGTCAAGTTCCAAAAAACATTATTTTGGTAAAGAGTGCAATCTTATAAACCTAAATGTCATAAATTACAATTTTTTTTTTCAACTTTTTTGTTTCCTTTAATTTTGTATTCGAAGTGATGTAAAAGACTTGGTTTCTAAAACTTGACCTTGGCATTATAAATACAAAAGGCGGCTCTACAAACATTATATGGCTGAGCGGTGTATTAACGATTTTAAGGTATTCGTAGCAAGTTTGTATCAAGCCAACATTACAGTCGTGGATGACCTATGGAGTGGCTTAGCGCCTTTATTCTTGTCAATTGAAAACATTTTTGACCAAGGACTTAAAAATATCCGAACTTGGTTTAGCGATTCCAAATTACACTGCTGGAATGTTTTTGAACAAATTGGAAGGGGATCAAAGACTTTTAATTCCATCGTTCCATATCCTATATTAATGGCTATCGATCGAGTATGTTTTGGTGTCTAGTGTGTTTTCTAAAAAAACAGTACTTTGTCTCATACAAAACTTGAGCCTCTGGAACATGGCGTGATGTAATTTAAAACGCACATATAATTTATCACCCATCTTTTGGTTTACATTAGCATCTGTTTAATAATAACATTTCTTTTGCAAAATACTCTGCCTTAAATTTCTTTTATTCCTTTTGAATCCGCTTTACATAGGTCAGTGCCTGTGTTCGAGTTAGGACACCCAGAGGCAAGGGGCGATTGTTTCTACGGATCTTAGTAAAAGGCGGGAATCTTGGAGACCTAGTTTTTCTTCTAAAGAACAATATGGCATTTTTATCACAATTTTACCATCTTGAAGATGCAGTATTGACAAATGAAGTTCTGAATCAAATATTTTATTCCATCATCGCAGATTTTTCCCGAATTAAATTCGAACTTAATTTAAACAATGCAGATTTTCTTGATGATTCGTGGGATATGCCATTTTATACTGTTCATTACTTTGTTCCGTGTAGGTGAGTGTTCTCCTATTTTAGTCAAATTCATACGATGAATATTTAATTAGGCAATATTTGTCAAATGCTTTGCTAATTGTACTGCCAGTTTTTTCACCTTGGTAGACTTTTAGCAAACATGGAGCTCAAACTTATCTTCAATTCAAAAGAAATAAATTTCCACCAACACTTTCACTTTTTCCGCCAGCATTATTCACCACCAGTGTTATTTCGGTTCATTATTATTTTAATTTTGCAAACCTTTTTTGCTTTGCTTTGGAAGTAATAGAACAGAGGGCACGCCCCTCAATGTTTTTGTTGTCTTTTTTCGTGGATATTACTTTCAAGACAAAACGCTCGTGCACTTCAAGAAATGACATTGCCGCATCATTCTTCCTCGTGTTCATAGCCGGTTCGGCATTCGTGTCAGAGTGTTGAATACTCACTACGTGATTACTGAATTAGATGAAGAATTTAAAGAAACTGAGGGAGACCTATTTGAACCAGGAGATGTAATCACCACCGTGGCTGGAGACGCACTCCGGGGTAAAGCGGTTGACCTTCGAAAGATGCTCTTGAAGCAATGTCGTAAACCTATGCAATTTGAGGTTGCCAAAGTTAGATCTCCAGATGGATCCCTTTTCCAGCCTATCGTTGATCTGCTGAAAAAGAGTGGTTATAGTGATATCCTAAAGGAGACCCGAGGAACTAATAAGAAAGGTAATAAGTAAACTCATTTTACGTACTTACAATTATATGAATCTAATTTCGCATATTTTTTAACTTCATTTTGAATAACCATTAAATTTCATGGAAAACATATACATAATATGCGATCATTTGAGATGGATTACTATACTTTACTGTTCATTTCTGCTTTTACGCTTTTTTAAAAAGGCTAGCGACCACGCCATATAGGAATAAATAACATGCCCCTCAATCGCAACTTCAAGTAATTTCAAAGGGTACATTTAAATCATTAAGTTTACTTGTTTTCAGGCTTTTTTAGTGACTGGATAGGCTTTAAAGTAGATCTAAGAAATTTTGTTTTAGTTTAGAGGATAGCGCATGATTTCTTCTGCCTAACTGTTCAATATTCACTCAGGGTCACTCCACGAAACATCCTTTTCACCAGTTTCGTCTTAGTTTGCCTCTTATTTGTCAGCCTATACATAGCCAGCAACAGCACATACAACACGGCCAAACTTATCCTGGATTAATACATAACTGGGGATGAGAAAAGTAGTTTGTATATACCAAATTGATTGAAAAATAGAAGCCGGAATACTGAAAGTGAGATGAGATTCGATGGCAAATCCTGAAGTACTAAATAAGAGTACTTTTTATGAGTTTCTACCAAGTGGTTAAATAATAACCGGAGAATTACGGTTTGAATATATTTCCTGATTCAATGTTGAAATCAAGCAAAAGTGAAAATCTAGTTAAGTAGGTAATCCTCCATCACCCTCCGTATTCCTCTCACGTCATCCATTCATATTTGTACCTCTTTCAATCCCTACACAATTATTTGAATTGCAGCTGCGACTTTCTTTAAAGAGGAACCACGCAGCTTCAACAAAGGAATTAAAAAACCTGCAAGACGTTGTGAGACAGCAATGGGGAATGATGGTGCGGGTGTTATTGACTAAAAACACTCTTTTCACGGAAATATACAGTTACTAACTTAGCTCCTGGTCAGATATGAGCTTTTACAATCACCCAATAGATGGAAGCTAGCTCCGAGACCTCAACTTATCGCAGAGAACACGCTGCAGTTGTGTGTTAGCAGCGTCCAAAAACCACTAAATTACAGAATATTTTTTTCAAAAATGTCAATATTCTTCGTATAACCCACATCTTGCATTAAAGCCTAGTTATTTGGCACACTTTGGGACATAATTGATATCGTTAAAACGTTAAAGTAGTACCAGGAGTATTATTTATACTTTTGTTTGAGCCCATGTGAATTTTCAAGTAACTGTCTGCTGACCAAACTTTCGACGTGATTCAACTGCACACCACGGAAGAATGGCTATGTGTTTGACCAAAATCCGAATTGTTAGCTTGCTGTCACATACGTCGCGTTTGCCTTTTCTCTTTTAACGGAGCCAATTCGGTGAAGTGGTCTAATTGCGAAGCTCTCGATCTTACGACGTGTTACTCGATCCTCGAAGAAGGTGGTTTGGAGGCTAGGGGGGCAGAACAGTCAGCGAAGGAAATCGCCCACTCAGTGCGCTATGTCGGGAAAACAGGTGTGGACCGCCGAGGCACCAAAAGTCTCATCGATGCGATAATCGATTCAGTGGTTGCTGAACATCCCTCTCCTTCGCAGTACCTGCCTGTTCGTGTGGGGCTCGGTGAGGTCTGATTGTAATCACTCCTCTTTCCTACAACAGCAATCTTTGTCTGATCCACCTTTCTTAGTCAGACTCCAAAATTGTAAACTTAAACTGCTTAAGTCGATGTTTGAGGTATGATTTCATTAGAACGCACCCGGGATGATTGAGAAGATGTGCTTTCTTGTATTTTACGTATAAGGACTGAAAACTATGCAGCTTCATGAATTGATAAGGCAGTGATTCTTATAACCACGTAGCTACGTGTTTGGCAGACTCCTTTTGTACAGGGAGCAATCTGCTGTCTCGGCCAAAGACCGAGTACACGTTCAAACTCGTTCGTTTCTACGTGGCGTGGGCGGCCCTAATTGCGATTCGGAGTAATAGGACTCTCAAAGATAAATGGACCAGTGGACAGGGGCGGCTGATTTAAGTACAAAACATAGTGTGTATGAACACGAACAATAACAAAAAATAGAAATGTGACAAATTTTGGAAAATGTGGTCTTGGTGATGCTGAATGCTCAGCAAACTCCCATTATTATCCACTGGGGCCAAATCTGAAAACTGAGTCGAGACCAAACAATTGAGGCACACCCGATTATAGTTCATCAAAGGAAGATTTTGCGAACGCTTTGAAGTCAGCTTTAGGCTACCATGGATTTTGTTTTTCATCGAAATATATTGCTTACATTATAGCCTAATAATTGAGACCTTGAGTACCTAATTTCTCCCAAAAGTCGTAAAAAGTCAGTTGTCAAGTGCCTCGCCGTAGTGCAAGGCACAGCATTTTAAGTCGCGTGACGCCAACGGGCCTAGTATTTTTACCAGCTGGTGAAGCATCTTATGTGCTCAAATCTAACAAGCAACTCATACTCTTGTGACAGCCTCAAGTGTCATTTCAGAGCCAAGTTCGGCATCCACGTAGGTGTGCATGTTTGAGCTAAGGAGTGATTGAGCCACCTGGTGCAATTAGAAAAGGGAGAACTGGCAGACGCATTTATGCAGTCATATATAAAATAACCTTGAGACTGTGTTTCATGAAATTGTGTACCGCATAAGACACCGCCAGGTTGCACAAATTTCCACTTCTAGGCCCGTACAAATAATTTCGTGTTTTGTCATGCCGTGGTTCCGCATTGCTCGGGGTTCAAATGGGAGTTAAAACCGACTAATGCGCCAGATTGCTATCACTACAATCTTTGTGTAAGGCTCAGTGCTTAAATTAACAAGTCAGCTCAATTGTAGACACTAACTCTATAAGTCATCCTGTATTTATATTTCAGGGGAGCTCAATATGAAAGTTTGGCCCGTGACACCTGGCACTTGTAGAGACGCCAACGCGAAGCCCTTCCTTACGCACGCCTATCCCATCATCACCGTTGTGGGGCAAGGCAGTCAGAACCCCCGCTACTTTGGTTACATAGCCAGCAACAGCACATACAACACGGCAGAAGGCTTCACTGCTTACGTATTTCTCTGCTGGAATGCAAACGAGGCTGCCAGAATTGTTAAAGGCATTTCCAGCGGATTGAAACGAACCCGTTTGACCACGTAGTCCTATTTAAATATATATATCATGATGAATTCCTTCAGTAACCTGACCTACATAAACTCTCACTGAAATTACACTATTTTAAAAAGCTTCCGTCAGCACCATTGAAGCCATTGGCCGATATCAGATGACTTTGAATTAAAGAAAGGGCACTTGTCTTAAACAGCCTGAGTTTGAATGCAGATAGTCAAGGAGTCTTTATATTTAGTGTGATATATTACACGAAATCGGCTCACATAGAGTGTCTACGTAAATATTGTTGATAAATTAATGTAGAACACCCCCAGGACTAACTAGCCTACATTGCTATGGGATTTTACCAGTAATCGCATTGTGTTCGTTTCAACAACTCAAGCATATCTGTAGCTGTTTCCTTCGGAACTATTCCCTCTCGAAATCCCTGTAAACTTTGAATCCCGGAGGCCTATCATGATGTTATGCACATGGACTAGCATTTCCGAAAACCCTAGCTCGTTTCTGTGTTTTGAAACCATTTCGATTGCTTAATATACAGAATGGGTCCTTTCACACTGTGGCTTTCTACTGAATCCTTTTTTTTATAGTAAGCCCCGAAAACGACCAATAATTTGAATGAGCATACTTTATCACCCATGAGTTTTTGAGTTGATAAACATGCAACTCAAGCATCTTTAGTGTATTGACAATGCACTTAGATCGATACTTTGCCATCATTGTAATCTCTATCTGCAAAGTACTTTTACTTCGGCTGAATAAAAGTGCTTATCAATGCTATTGCTGTCTGAGAAAAGTGAGATTTCATATTTTATTGTGTGCAATCATTGTTTTTAGGCAACAAAAGAATATATGAAAGCTATTATCGATATTCTATGTAACTCCATCTTCTAATAAGTAAACAGCGAAATGAGCTTATGTGTTATTTGATGTACTGCCCCACTTGGGTCGAATCAAATTCGAAGTTAGGCTTCGCTTATTCGATTAATTAAAACCTCCTTTTCGCTTAAATAACATAATACCACTTTATTTAAAAATCGCAAAGTTCTGAGTTCATTTACTTCATATCTTTGGTAATCATTTACAAGTTGGATCATAGTTGATTACGAATTGTTTAGAATTTTAATAAAGCCATAATTTTCTAAGATACTTTTGGCCGAAAATCTGTGGCCTAAGGTATAAATTTTGCTAGCTTATATTCAGGATGTACGTTGAAACTGGAACAAACATGAGCAATGCGTATTCAGCATGAGTGATAAACATATGTTTTCTTTTCTTTTGACGCACAGTTTAAACAATCAGTATGCCAGTAAAGGCACGCAACCATCTCAAATAAACAAAATTGCCACTGAATTTAACAAGCATGTTAAAATTAACTGTGTGATGTTTTACCGATTTAAAACGCATTTTCGTTTGTGACTGAGGTCCCGGTGAATCCGCCTATACAAAACTGATTTGCCAATGAGGTGTTTGAATGCTGCGATCGAATCCAAGCAAAACATTGACCATGTTTTATGCCATAAAATCACGTTGTCAAATATGCAGTACAAAAGTCGAAAAGGGTTTTTAGCATACGAAAGCGTGGTCGACAAATTTAATTACTCTATGGGACGTTACTTGGACGCTATGCAAAAAAAGGTGCTCTTTGGTCTTCCAATTATGTCCCTATAATATTTTTAAATTACTAAATTTCTAAATTGCAACTTATGCTCGTTTAATTCAGGGAAAGAATGAACATGGTTAACTTGAAGAGAACTCGTTGCAGGCGACGACGCTAAATCCATTTTTATGCAATCAGTGGGAAAAAGTTGCATCTGCAGTGTCTTCGTTGCAACCAGAGTAGAGTCAGAGATACTGCCATTTCAGTGTTCGCTTTTCATCATCTCTGAGCCAATTATTGACCGCCCAGATATACACAAAATGAGCATGTTTGTAAAATATAAAAGTTTATTGCAATGTAAAAAACGAGCAGAAAATTATGATACTAATAGCCGCAAATGTTTGCCAAATTTTAGTCAAAATTCGAGATTTGAATAAACTTTTCAAAAAGAGTGAATCAAAAAATATCAAGTCGGAGAAACGATGACGGAAGATAATCGATTAAAAAGAAATTTAAAGAAATTTAAAGTTAGATAATTGCACTGAGAAAAATCTTTCAGATTTCGAATAGAGCTATCGACAGATGTTACTCAGTTGCCTTAACACGTTTATGATGCTATAACAACGTAATAGACCGTGTGACGGAGTTCAGGTGTAGTTTCCTTCGTGCAATTTAAGTAAAACCGTTGCAGCAGGTATTCATTTTCGATGTAGTCAAATAATGTCTGTAGTAATTTTCTTCGTGGCGTTAAGGATGACAAAAAAAGCTAAAAATGAGTTCACAAATCTTAACTTTTCTTTTTTATTCCCAATAGCAGCAACTTTTTTTGTAAGTTTCGCCCTTTTTTAATTTAATTACCACACTTGACGTTGTCCCAATATGGTCTAATAGCCGGACTGTGCATTTTATTTTCTTGTGTGTAGTATGCGGCGCCGGTTATATGAGGTCGTCTACAGTTTACTTGCAGGCCATTCAAACGCACAGAGGAGGATCGGCTGAGTAAAGAGTTGTCCAATATGTTCGCACCTCTGTACGTCACTATCGAGCTATCACCGAGTGTAGAATACCCGAGCCATAGTATGAAGGAGTCTGGTACATCAGAACATGCTCTACTGACCAGTCACAAGACACAGCCACAAGTTAGGTGCCGTCCATTAGAGTCCAACACTCTGGATACACTGCGCATTATAATCTGCTCCTCATTCGTGTCGTTTCATGGTTGGCTGCCTATCTTCCTCGCATGCCATTGGAACGCAGAGGGACAGAGGATTTGCTGAGGCTAGGGTTGTCCAATATGTCTGCGCCCTAATCCGACGCCACACTGCCTCCCCCTTAGGAGTGAAGCTGTCCTCAGCTTCTGGCTTGGACATCGGATGAACGCCATGACAAATTCAGCTGGCATTCAAGGGTCTTCGCCTCTGTTGACCATAGAAGAGAAAGGGCTGGGGTC